TCTGACAGCACAGGTCCTGAGTTCAATTCCCGGTACCAAAAAAAAAAAAAAAAAGAGACTTAGAGGTTTAAGGAACTGCTTCTAAATCATAGCAATATATAAGGAAAGAGAACAGAAATCAAAGCCAAATGTGTCTGATCCTAAATACTATGCTTTTTGAACTGTTTTCTCTTATCTCTGTAGAACTATTTTTTCTTATGCAAGCACAAAGCTGAGGACTTGTTTAATGTCATCTGATAAGACTTAGTTATTCTATGATGCATGTAGTGTTGTTGGGAAGACATTTTTACATTAAATGATTGACATGTATTCTCACGTTCTGTGTCTCTCCAATCTTTGTGTCCTACGGTAAGACACACCAAGTATCAAATGAATGAACTGGAGTTAAGACTTCAATGCCATTTTGAGCAGTTTCTTTCCCTTTCATAATATCTATGGTATTTTTTGGATTTTGTTCACTCTTTCAGTTTCTTACAAGAGGGAGACAATATGATGTTTACACATGCGGGTCTGGATGAGTGAAAAGAGAAAAGAAAGAAAGAAGGGAAAAATATATATATACAAGATAGCTAAGATAGTTGTACTACTAATTTCTGTTGTTCTGTGCTTAATGTTCTATGCTTAATTTTTTTGACCAATTTTGCATGCTTATATCTGGTAATCTGAACAACTACTTTGAAGATAGCAATGCCATATAACAACCATTGCTGATTTCCTACCATCTTATTTTGAAATTCTGTATTTTTTGTTGTTGTTGTTGTTTTTTTTGTATTGTTTTTAATGTTTTTTTTTTTTAATTCTCTTTAAAATAAATTTAAAAAAAAAAACAATTCAATGCCAAAGCACTGAGAGAATTTATGGACAGGCCAAGGTCACTGATCTCGAAAATCACATAGAATGAGAGGAAAGTAGAAGGCAGATTCTGCGAAGCGCAGAGCTATGATCTTATGCAGGACACAGAGCAGGACCCAGCCCTCTGTTACAAAGTGATGGTCAGGGAACCCTGGACAAGGGCAGCCCCGATCACTGAGGCCACACGCACACACTAAGCGCAATCACTGCACACCAAGTCTGCTGCCTTCTGACTGGTTTGCAGAACTACCCAGTGGGGACAGCAAGCAGCTGGAGCTGGGCGGTGACCAGCCCCTTTAGAAGAAGTCCTGGTCTCTCCCATTTGCCCGTTTACAGCCCTTGGATTCCCAAGTAGACTGACAGAATCAGGACTTTACAATTACCAGGGATAAAGATAAGATCCTACATTTGGTTTCAAAAAACTCAGTTGAGTAAATCCAAGCCAGAGAAGGGTACACTTAGGAGCAACCAATGTAAAAGCGCCTTTAAGTAAGCTGATAACAAGCTCAATGAGGGATTCTATGATACAGCCGACAGAATAAAGGAAAAGCATCCTTAACAAAGCGAAGTGTTTATGCCAGAATAAAGGAGGCAACAGTCCAGCCCTGATCTGGATTGGCTGGCTTCAATCACTACTGCACTATGTAGGCTTCTGGACAGTTCACTCTGACAGAGTCTGCTGGGTACTTTCCATGTCCTTCCACTCCCTTGTCTAATCCAGGCTAGGACAGGTAGGAGCTGGTCCCTACACACCACCTCACCCAGATTCCTGTTCCCTGGTGACTTCCCACTGTGCTCAGCCAATGGGAAGAGAAGTGAAGCAACAAGAGAACAGGCCTTTCTTGTGCGGTCTTCTCCCTCTCCATCTGCACATTTCTGACAGTAGCTGTGTTCCCTTTACAACAATGCTTTTGTCGGGCAGTCCCTCTTCCCCAGTCCCAGCTTTCCATGGACTTCAGTTTGCTTCCCTTCTTCCTTCAGGTCCAGGGGTAAAACAGCTTCTCCCTGCTGCCAGCTGTTAGGTGCCTCAGGACCCTTTCTTGGTTCCCTTAACTCTGCCCACAGCCCTATAAATAATCCCTTCACTAATTTTTTTAAAAATCCCAGTGAAATTGGCCTCTGTTTCCACCAAGGACCCTGGCTGGAACTGGAGACAGGACGCTGGACAGCCTTAAAGTCATGTCTGTGAGGACCAGCTCTAGGAACAGAGGGTGTTTAGCCTGGTCAAGCGAAGCCTTCAGACAGCAGTACAGTCTGCTTGAAAAGGGGAAATGGCCACCATCACACTCACTCTCAGCTCCACAGATAGTAGTGGTTACAGAGACACCACCTTTTGGCTAAATGTAAACTTTTCCCACAGTTGGCAAAGGTGGGGTGGGTAGATCCTGGCAGATTATGAGCTCCAAGAATTCTGAGTGGCCTAATCTTAAACTAGATGAGCCCAAGTCAGGAACAGTGTAGAAAAAAGTTAGGATAGTCTAGAATAAGGCTTTCCAAGCCAGGATTTCATGATTCATCACCACCTGTACACTAATCTATGATTTATCAAAATATGATTTATCTTCCCTTATTCACAGCTGCACTTTCCATGGTTTTATTGAAGTTACCTATGGCCAACTGGGGTCATACAATAATAAATGGAAAATCAGAAATAACAATTTGTAAATTTTAAACCAAGTAGCATGATGGAATTTCATGTTATCCCACCTCCTCTTCTGGGACATGAGTCATTCCTCCATCCAGTGTATCCACACTGTATACACTACCCACCATTAGTCACTTAGCAGCCATCTCAGTTCTCATCTCAATTGTCAGATTGACTGTCACAGTACCTCAGTGCCTGTCTTCAAGTGACCCCTATTCAGTAGCCAAACCCTTCATCACAATGCCTATGGCACTCACATCACTCTGTCTCATCACCAGGCATTGTATTGTCTCATAGGATCACAAAACAAAGGTGAGTACAATATTATTACAAGGGGTGATGTTCACATGTTGTTCTAACTATTCTATTATTAGCTACTATTGTCACCTCTTAACCACACCAAACTTTACCAAAAAACAGTATACAGTACACAGAGTTTGGTGCTATCTGATTTCAGGCATCCCTTGGGGGTCTTGGAATGCTTCTCAACAACTATGCCAAAATTGAAGGGAAGCTCTAGGGATGTGTTTTTGCTGCTTCTCACTTGAATCCAGAAAATAGATGTCTAGCTCTTGGGTCAAGTTTGCTCATTCTCAACAGTGAAGTTGTTTTTACATGCTAAGATAACTTGATATAGTAGATACAGAAGAATGTTCAACATCTTTCACCATGAGAGAAATGCAAATCAAACAACACTGATGTCCTATCTTAGCGAGAAAGAATGGCGATTACCAAGCACTCAAAACACAGTACTGGGTGCAGTGGCACATGTCTATAATTCCTGCACACAGGAGGCAGAAGCAGGAGAGACACAGCATCAAGAGCAGGCTGGAGTACATAAGGAGTTCAAGGCCAGCCTGAACTACATGATGAGACCCTGTCTCAAACAAACAAATGAACAAGCAAGCAAGCAAACAAACAAATGAAAATTTAAAAAACAAATGCTGGTAAGGTTGTAGCGGAAAACAAACCCTTCTGTCTACACCATAGGTGGGACTGTACACTAGCATAACCACCATGGAAATCAGTATGGAGCCCACTCAAAGAACTAAAAGCAGAAATTCCATTTGACCTAGATATACCTCTTCTGAGCATCTTCCCAAGAGTTTAAGACATCATATGATACATGCATATCTATGTTTACAGCAGCTCATCATAATAGCTAAATCTTGGAAACAGCCTCTATGCCTACCAGCAGATGAATGGATAAAAAAATGCACAAGGGAATACTACTCTACCACACAGGATAAATTTGATTCATTTGCAGGAAAATGGATGCACTTTGAGACCATAATGCTAAGTGAAATAAATCAGACACAGAGGTTTAATACCGCATGATTTCTCTTATATGAGAAACCCGAAGTATAAATAATTTAAAGAGCAAAATAGGAGATTATAGGAATGAGGGAGACAGACTTTGTGCAGCTGGGAAGGTAATCTGGGGGTGGATAAAACAGAAGAGAGGGAAGGTGAAAGAAAAAGGATCAAGATGTCACCTGTGTGTGTACCAGTTTCTCACGATGAACGTGTTTAGTATGCCTCACAAACACACACTAATAATTTTTTTTAAAGGTAACTTAAGAACGTGGAATTTTTACATCTCAACATCACAGCTTTCCAAAGTTCACTTCTAATGCGCGCGGCCCGCTATTGAACCGAAAGCACTTTTTAACCCAGCAGTTTCTATCCACACATCTGGCAGTCACTGCAGTGCTTCTTGAGAATTTTCACCTCATTTTTCAGCTCCAAAACCAGGATACAAAATCTACCCACAGGGCAAAATACTTTTAGACTCAAACTATCTTAGAGGGGGGAAAAATAACATTGCCTCAATTCACCGTGGCAGGAAAAAGAAAACGATTTTTTAAAAAGCCCCAAGCGCCTGAGGTCACACCAGGGTCATGGCCCAGGGTTCCAAGGGTGTATGTAAGCCAGGTGTCCTCCTTAGGGGAGAGTTTATCATTTCCTGCACAGCGGAAAGGCTGGGGCAGCCAGTTCACTCATTCATTCAACAAACATTAGTAATCAACTTCGTCAACAGAGCCCTGGGGGGTGCAGAGACGACCCCAAGAGGCTAGCGCTGCTAAGCTGCTGCAAGAGGACTTCAGCAAGTCCAGGAAACGACCTGATTTCAAAAGACCAATGAAGGCAAAGAGTGAGAGTGACGGCGCCCTGAAAACTTTCCGCAGAAACTTGGGAAATGCCAGCCCTCGGGCGCGGAGAGGGCGGGGACACGGGTCTCCGGCGGGACGCTGCCTACGGGCCGGGGCTGGGCTCCGAGTCCGGCGCCTCCCGAGGCCACGCGGCGCCCGCCCGC